AAATTTAATAGCATTGCAGGTCTATCTCAAAGAACAAAAAAAAGTGCAGGGTGGAGGGCAACAGGGCAGGGGGGGATAGAACAAATGTAATGGCATAATCAATAAATAAAAAATATATTTAAAAAAAACAATCAAACTTTATACTTTAAGGAACTTGAGAAAGAACAACAAACTAAGCACAGAGTGGAAGGAAGGAAATAATAAAGATCAGAGCAGAAATAAATGAAATAGAGTCTAAAAAAATACAAATGATCAATGAATTCAAGAACTGGTTCTTTGAAAAGATAAACAAGATTGACAAATCTTTAACCAGACTCATCAAGGAAAAAAAAGACCCAAATAAATAAAATCAGAAATGAAGGAGGAAAAATAACACCTGACACCAAAGAAATACCAAGGCTTGTAAGAAAATATTATGAACAACTATATGTCAAAAAGCTGGACATAATAGAAAAATTATTAGAAACATACAGTCTTCCAAAACTAAATCAGGAAGAATCAGAAAATCCAAATAGGTAGATTACACTTAGTAAATTGAAGCAGTAATAAAAAAATAAACTCCCAAGAAACAAAAGCCCTGGACCAGATTGTTTCACAGATGAATTTTATCAAATAGTTCAAGAAGAACTAATACCTCTCCTTTTCAAACTATTTCAAAAAATTCAATGAGGCTCCTAACTCATTTTACGAGACCAGATTTTCTAATTCCAAAACCAGATAAAGACATTACAGAGAAAGAAAATTATAGACCAATATCTCTGATGAACACAGATGCTAAAATCCTCAATAAAATGTTAGCAAACTGAATACAGCAATGCATAAAAAAGATCATACACTATGATCAAGTAGGATTTACTTATTTAAGGAATGAAAGCTTGGTACAACATTTGCAAATCAATAAATGTGACTCACCACAACAGAATGAAGGAGAAAAACTACATGATCATACCAGTAGATGCAAAAAAGTATTTGATGAAATCTAGCACCCATTTATGATAAAAACTATCTGGAAAGTAGGATTAGAGGGAACATGCCTACACATAATAAAGTCCATATATGACAAACCCACTGCCAGCATCGCACTTAACAGACAAAAACTACAAGTGTTCCCTTGTAGTTTTTTCAAATATTTCAAATTAAAAAGCTTCTGCATGGCTAAAGAAAACATCAGCAAAATGAAAAGGGAACCAACCATATGGGAAAAATATATTTGCCAATGATACCCTGAACAAGAGTTTGATCTCCAAAATAAGTAAAAAACTCACACGATTCCACACCAGGAAGACAAACAATCCAATTTAAAAAATGGGCAAAGGGCCTGAACAGACACTTCTCCAAGGAAGACATACAGATGGCCCAGAGACATATGAAAGAATGCTCAACATCATTAGCTATCAGAGATAGAAATTAAAGTCACAATGAGATACCACTGCACATCAGTAAGAATGGCCATCATAAACAAATCAACAAACAGCAAATGCTGGCCAGGATGTGGAGAAAAGGGAACCCTAGTGCACTGTTTGTGGGAATGCAGACTGGTACAGACACTGTGGAAAACAGTATGGAATTCCCTCAAACAACTAAAAATGGAACCACCTTTCAGCCCAGCTATCCCACTTCTGGGAATACATCCAAAGGAACCCAAAACGATAATTTGAACATGAACATCCCTATGTTCATTACAGCATTACTTACATTTGCCAAGATAAGGAAGCAGCCCAAGTGTCCATCAGTAGATGAATGGATAAGACAACTATGGGATATTTATGCAATGAAGTACTACTCGGCCATAAAAAAGAGAAGAAAGTTTTCTCCTTTGCAACAGTATGGCAAGTGAAGTAAGTCAGTTAGAGAAAGACAAATACCATATGATTTCATTCACATGTGGAATCTAATGAACAAACTGAACTAAGAAGGAAAATGGGGACAGACTCACAGATGGAGAGCAGGATGACAGTTAGTATAGAGGAGAGTAGAAGAATTGAGCAAAAAGGAAAAAGGACTCATGAACATGGACTACAGTGTGGTTGTTGGCGGGGATGTGAAGGGCTTAAAGGGACTAAATGGTAATGGAAAAAATAACAATAATACATACATGCATACATACATACTGGGAAAAGAAGGACCTCACCCTCAGAGTAACCTCTCCTCTTCTGGCCTTTTCTCCCTGGAGATAACATCTAAGCCTCAGTTGTATTTCAGCTCCAGGCGCAGAAAAACAGCAAAACCAGGTGGGCAAAGCCAGAATGGACTGCAATGATTAAAAACTCTCTGAGCTGTCACTGATCAATCAGTGGAGACCATGACCCTGAAAGGGCACACCTAGAGAACTAATGAATATTCTACTTACCCCTCCCTTGAAACCTCCCCTAAGATTCTTGCCTGCAAGGAAGAGATAAAAGCCTCAAGACAAAGGGCCCACTGCATGGATCTCCCTCTAGGGAGCAGCCCAGGGAGAGCCCGATCCATTCCTTTCTTCTTCCCCCTCTTGTTTCTTCACAGGCACATGTCTCCCAAACTCTTAGGCCTGAGGCAGCTGGCAGCTCGTCCCAGGCTAATCCCCTGAACCTGTCCCCGAAGTCCCCTTTTCTCTGACTTCCCAGTGAGCTAAGGCAGCCCAGCCTAGCCTCTCCTGTTGCTCCTTTTATGCTAAACCCTTCCTTGTTTCACTGTCTCTCGTTCTAATAAATAGACCTTCACATAGTCACCTGGACTCGTGTTGTGAAATATATCCTACACAAAGCCAAGAACCCACCCACTACAGCTGGCCGTGGGCAGAGCTGCTCAGGGCCAGGCCCCTTGTCTGATAACAATTCCTGGCATGTCGATTTGTAGAAGAATGTTTAATGGCATAAAAAATATTCACACTGTACTAGATGTAAAAAAGATTGCACTAAGTGTAGTATGATTCCAGTTCTGAAAAATAAATATGTATAGAAAAAATTACTAGAGGAATCTCTGGTGATGGAATTATGGAATATTTGTATTTTCTGTTTTAAAATTCATGTGTCCTTAATTTCCTGTAGTAAACTAGTATGATGTAAATAATAAGAAAAATATTCATTTTAATAAATAAAAATACATATAATAAGGGCATACAAATTTTAAATGAATAAAAGAGCTTAGAATCCTAAAAAAGACATCCTTATGAACAGATAATTATCCATATTAATGAGACACTATTTAAAACCTGGACAACTTTATTTGGGTAAATACTAAAGAGTGTAATTGCTGGACTGAGTGATAAGAGCCCCGCTTGGTTTTATAGGGAGATGCCAAACTGTCTCCTAAAGCAGCGTTTTGCATTTCCATGCTGGTGTGCTTTTAGAACTTTAATGTATCTATTAAAGTTACCAAACCAGAAAACACTGAAAAAGTGTGTCATTTCAGAAGAGGAGAATTTAAAAATGTTCCCATACTTGGGATAGGACTCTTTCTCTTAGGAACTAATTAAGTTATTGTTTAAAAACACACTTTTCTTTCCAACTCCCTCACTTGCCCATACTACCCTGAAGATCAGCTTTGTAAGAGCTCCCAACACACATTTCACAGTTTGCAGGCTAGAATGGCTTACTTTATAATAATGTTTACTTCAAAATGAATTTTTAAGAGATGCCAAAAACTCCTACTTCTACCCCATTCTTCCCAGAAAATACACATCCATTAGAGATTCACTTCTTTGGGGTCAGGCAGGTCCAGAAGCTAGCAGTTAAATGCAAACATCCCTGGGAGGGGAATGCATTTAACCATAAACACTTTAGTGTGAAAACTTTTATCAGGATATGCCATGCAGTCCCCTTCCAGGGCCCTAGGGAAGGAGAGAGCCTGGTGGGCCTTTGAAAGAAAAGAGTCGGAGATTTGAATGGTTGCCAGGCCGCCTCTAGGAAGAAACAGCTGGGATCAGCAGGAAGGCACTAGACACTTGGCAGGAAACTATACTGGGTGAGAGAGACTGGGGCCATAAACATTCAGAGGCAAACTAGCAAAGCATTGGCTTAACTCTGTCCCCATGATGTCCTTCATCTTCACGGCTAATCTCTGGAGTTTCTGACCACCTCACTTCTCACTTGATACAAACCCAGATCAGGTGGGAACTTATGACTCAGACCTTGCAGTGGGGTGGGACGGGGTGAGGTGGGGTAGGGTGGGTTACGGAGGGATCACCGAGGGGCCCCTTGGCTTTCATTGTGGTGTGCCAGGCACAGGGCCAGTTGTTTCTGCCAAGAGTCATAAATCAGCGGTTTTAACCTGTTGCTACACAGGTAGAGTCCACAGTTATTTTTCCTGTATGTAGTTAGTGCCTTTAGCACCCAGCTGGGCTCTTGGCTAATTAGGCTCAGAGGAGCCAGGGAAGGGTAGTTAATGACTATGTTGCTGAAAATGCACCACCAGTACACACTGCTTGGATTTGGCTGCAGCTGAGACTTCATGTTCTCATATTTTTCTGCCTAGTTTAAGCCTACAGTATATAAAGTGTGTTCCTTCTCACTTAACCTGCATTTGCAGTGAGTACATTGCAAAGCATATTTGGCATAATGGGCGTACCAAGATGCCTGTGTTCAATAGCTTCCTATCCAGCAGGAATGATTCAACAAACGTAGAATCAATTCATGGATGTGAGACAATTTGTGATACATACGCATTAACAGGGATGCACATGTCCATGGAGGGAGGGATGGAAGTGGTAGAGGGTGTGGGTGGGAAGTGTATGGCAGTCTAGGAGGGCAAGGAAATCCCAGGAGGTCTCATGGAGGTGTCGTTGTAGTGGGAGCTTGAATTCCCACTACAGGGAGAGAATTCAGGGAGGCACAGAGAAAAGGGAGGTTGACTGGAGGCCTGAGTGGTGCAGGCACAGGCGAGGAGGAGAAGAGTATGGTGTTCATCTGGTAGTGTTAATGGTGTATCTGCTGGGTAGGTCAAGCCATGGTCTGCAGGAGGTGGTAAGAAGTCCATTCCGATGAGTAAGCAGGAGGGATTATAAAGTACAATTAACAAAACACTAAGGAAGTTGGAATTTATTCCGCAGGCAAGGGGAAGCCGAAAATTAAAAGCAGCTCCAGCCATATTTCTGCTGTCATGTCGAACCCGGGTCACATTTCAGCTCAGTTAGATGATCCAAATCTGTTGAGATCTTTGTTTTCAAAGACTCATTATTAAATTGCCCATGAATTCCCTCAGAGGAACGCTTGAGAGTCCACAGAGAAGATCCAGAAAAGATCCTTGAGATGGTCCAGAGACAGTTCCATTTATCTTGTACCGGAGAAGTCGTTTTCTTACAGAGCTCAGCTTGTGTATTGCTTAGGAATGCACACTTGGTCAAGGATGAAGGAAAGCAAGAGAATGGTGAACAAAAAGCAAGGATAGTGTTTATATCTAGGGTGGAGGAAGAGAAGGGGGTCTTCTATTTTGGGGGATTATAGGAATTCTTATAATAAAAATAATTATCTTCTTAAACTAGGTGGGGGTATATAGGCATTTATTATTTTTAACTGTCTATATATGTTTCTATACTCTCCTTCCTACATATGATGCATTTAATTAAAAAAAAGTTTTTAACCACATACATAAGAAGAGTTAATCTTAACAAGAAGGATTTTTCCCCCATAACTCAAGTTTGTTACATGAAGACAGGGGAGGAAAAACTGAGACGATCTTGAAATAACTGGGAAGTAATTTGAGAAATCTGTGTCATTTTCTAAGAATGAGGCTGTGATTAGAGGCTTGAAGATATTAGAAAATATTAGAATAGTCACTGTAGGAAATGAGATAAGGAGTTAACCAGAGGTGAACATAAGGATTGCTAAGCAGTATTAATTAGCCAATGGTTTATGGGCAGAATTATGAAAATGAAGTAGACATTTTTTCCATTAGCATTTGGAATCTAGGTAACAGTTGATTTTACCTTTCTTGATTACGATGAAAATATATATTCAACATCAGAGGATTAGGAGAAGGAACTTCAGTTTATCTCACATTATTCATTGGCCAAGTTAAAGAGATCTAAGTCTGAGGAAAGACTAGTTATTGGGGCATCTTTCTTTCTGGTATACTTGAGGCTCTAAGTATCAGAAAATCCAAGGAACAGAAAACTATCAAAGAGGGATTTGTTTTTCTCATGTGAAAACCAGCCCAGCAGTGGGCAGTGCAGGTGGTCAGCGGTGGGGTCTCTGCAGTTCTCTTGGACTTCCCCTCATGCTATCACATCTGCCTTTGAGGCAGGGGGACGGGGGAAGGGAAGAGAGCCCATCGGGTCAAGTCTGTCTCTTTTTTCAAGGGAAGCAAAAGCGTCCAGAGTCATCTGCAATACATTTCCACATTTATCTCATTTTTAAAATTTTATAAAATATGTTAACTGATTTTAGAGAGAGAAGAGGTGAGGGAAGAGAGAGAGACACAGAGAGAGAGGGAAACATCCATCAGCTGCCTCCTGTATGTGCCCTGATCAGAACTTGAATCCCCAACCTTTTGGGGTATGAGATGATGCTCCAACCAACTGAGCTATACGGCCAGGGCCATATTTATTTCGTTGATGAGGGCCCACTCACCAAGTCTCTGGAGCTGCATGGGGGGGTGTTAGACCCTGTAGACAGGGCCTTCCGGTCTCTGGGGCAGGAAGCAGCAAGAAAGAAAGCAGCTGGAAAAGGGTTGTAGAGGAGGTTCTATTTAACGATGTAACAGTGTAAATCCTAGGGATATATAGAAATTTCAGGAAATAAGGCATGCTGTGGAAAAACAACATTCCGCTATTCTTACAACCAAGTCCAGTAAAAGACATTATCAGTTTGACTCAGAGCCAGTCTGGGAGGGCAGAATAGGGAAAAGAGAGTAAAATAGAGGGTCAGTGGCAGGGCTGGGGGAAATAGAGGAAATATAGAACAAAGGCTACCTTCTAAACCAGATAATTTTGAGGGTCCCTCTCAGTGGGACTGGGGAGATGTAGTGGTGAGACCCAGTTCTGTGGAGACTGAGAGCTGATAAGAGGAACTCAGTAGGGAGTGGCTTCTGTGCACCGCTGATGACCTCAAACCACATTCTTCTTTAAGCTGCTGCCCCTGGGAGGGGGAAAGAGAAGCCATTCAAATTAGAGATGCCCTAGGTTTATCAGGACCAATCAGCTATTGCTTGTCCTAAGAGTATTTAAAAGAATTTGCAGCAAATTTTGCAAGAAGAAGGGGCAGCCATAATAAATTACCAGCCCCCCTGCGATATGGGAGAATGCCCAGGGTTATCTGGAACTACAGCCCTCTGTTAGGCGGCACAGACTAGATGATGCCATGATAATAAACAATGCCCCAAACCTCAGTGGTTGAAAACAGCAAAGGTTTCTTTATCACTTGATTCCGGAGTCACAGTCACGCTTGGCCAGCACAGGTTAGCTAGTGTGCTCTGCTGAGGAACCCAGGCCCTTGCTAAGCCACAGGCAATGTGGGGATGCAATATTAACCCCTCAAACTACCTGGCTGGACCTTCGTGCCACTTCAACTCACGTTTACTGTCACGATTCACATGTCAAAGCCCGTCAGAGGGGTAGGATCGCACATATGTTTGAATAATGTGCCCTCTTCCTGGCTCCAGGGAAGGGACAGTCTACACTTGCAGACTGAGAAGAGCAGCAATAGGGTAAAAAATAAAGGCAAGGGGTGGGATGGGGACTAGGGATGCCACCAGACCAGAAATGCATCCTTTATAAGGTTTTAAAATTTTTTCCAAAATTTATTTTATGGAGATACAGTTCTTATAATATTCACATTTTAACTATTTTAAGGCATACAGTTCCGTGGTGTTTAGTTACTGTGTTCACAAAATTGTGCAATCATCACCATTAAGTCTAGAACAAACCCATCACCCCCCCCCGAAAGAATTCTGTAGTATTAAGCAACCACTCCCCTTTCTCAACACATCTCAGTCCCTGACAACCACTAATCTGTTCTGTCTCCATTGACTTGCCCCTTCTGGACATGGCATGTATAGATACACACAGTACATGGCCTTTTGGGTCTGACTTCTTTCACTTAGCATGGTGTAGTCAAAGTTCATCCCTATTGTAATATGAATCAATACTTCATTCCTTTTAATGGGTGAATATATTCCACTGTGTGAATAGACCACATTTGTTTATCCATTTATCCATTGATGGACATTTGGGTTATCTCCACTTTTTGCCTTTTATGGCTAATCCTGTTATGAATAATCACAGACAAGCTTTTGTATGAACATATATGGTTTCAATTTGCTTGGGTATATATTTAGGAGTGGAATTATTAGATCACGTGGTAATTCTACGTTTAACTCTTTGAGGAACTGCCAAACTGTTTCACAAAGTGGAGGTATTATTTTAGATTCCCACCAGCGATGTCTGAGGCTTCCGACTCCTCCATCTCCTCATCAACAGCCATTTCCTGTTTCTTTGATGTTAGTCTCATGGTTGTGAAGTGATATCCCTGCGTGGTGCAATTTGCATGTCATTTATGACTACTGATACTGAGCATCTTTTCATCTGCTTATCAGCCATTTGTAAATTATTTTTGGAGAAACATTTATTTAAACTATTTGGCCATTTCGAAAGTGGGATTGTTCACAGCAATGTGAATGTGCTTAATGCCACTGAAGCATACCCTTAAAAAAACAGGATGGTTAGTGATGTATTATGTGTATTTTACCACAATTACAAATAATTAAAAAATGGGAAAAATTGTTGGCATGCAATTGTTCCTCTTCTTTTCTTTTTAAAACACCATATGATGTAGACAAATCTGTGGGCTTATTAGCTCCCCTTTGTATTAGACAGAATAATGGCCCTCCAAAGATGTCCTATTCTAATCCCTGAAACCTGTGAATATGTGACTGCACAGGCAAAGGGACCTATGGATGTGATTGAGTTAAGAAACTGGAGATGGGAAGATTATCTTGGATTATCCAGTGGGTTCTGTGCAATTGCAAGGGTCCTTATAAGAGGGAGGCAGGAGTCTCAGGATGAGAGGAGCTATGACAATAAAGTGGAGGTTGGAGGACATGATGTATTTTGAAGATGGAGAAAAGGCCACATACTAAGGAATGCAGGTGGCTTCTAGAATCTGGAAAAGATAAGGGACTGGACTCTCCCCTGGAGCCTCTAGAAGAAAGGATCACAGCTCTGCAAGCCCTTGTACTATAGTCCATAAAATATGTTTCTGACTCCTCATTTCCAGAAATGTAAGACAATAAACTTGTGTTGTTTAAATTGCTGAATTTGTGCTAACTAGTTAGAGAAGCAATTGGAAACTAATAAACCCAGGAATGGACAATTTCATTTTGTAGTTTCTTTTATTTGGGCAGTTTGGCCAAAGAAAATGATGATTAACCAGACAGGCTCCGGAGTCACATGGCCTGAGATTAGACCTTCATGGTGGCCCCATGAATGTGGCATGTTACTTAACTTCCTTGTGTGTGAACATACATGTTTTGGTAAAATGCACATTCATCTCATAAAGATCCATTTAATCCTTCTGAGAATAACATGAGTTAATACATTTAAAGATTAAGTGAGTTAGACAGGTAACATTCCTAGAACAGTATTTGGTCCATAGCGAACACTCAACACATTCTAGCTCATTCATATAATGCTGTTGGACATTTCAGCAAACATGCTTTTTTGCACATACAGCTAGAAATATGTTGAGAACTCTAGGTTTCTGTTTCAGGAGCACTGCCGCCACAGTCATATTAACTGCTTAAAAGTCCAGAGAGTGGCCGTTTTCAGCATGCACAGCCCAGCAGAGACTGCCCAGCTGTGAAGCGTTTGCCGTGCTCAGGGAAAGTCCCAGCACTCGCCAACAGCTGCACACGCTCCCCCAGGAAGGAGTCTCTCTCTCGTTCCTCTTTTCGTGTCTCTGGAGAGATGATCAGAACATTTGTGCCATCTGGTCTTGGTAGTTCTTTATATCCAGTTTCATTTCTGTCTGTGAAGGTTAAAATACTCCAGGCTATATTTAAAGCCGTTTCCAGACCAGCATGTCCTACTCGGGGAACTTGCCTTTTCCGATGACTACTTGCTTCTCCTGCCTAGACTGAAGCATGTGCAGGATTTTCTTTTGGAGCCCAAACTTTGAAGAGCCAGATCAAGGCTCTGTGAGTGGCAACGGACAACTTTTCTGTGTGTGTATGCACGTGTGTATGTGCCATCTAAGGAGACACACACACACACACACACACACACACACACACACACACACACTCTGTTGCACCATTAGCTGCATTTCAGTGACAGTATCTGGAACTCTAACTAAAACAAGAGTGATGGACAGACTTTGTAACAGATCTCCAGGGCTGTATGAAGCAGGATCTTTGAAGGTCAACTGTACTGTTTCTGTGGGGAAGAAACTATTGCTTAATCATGGGTCATGGAGATACATGCCTATGTTTCCTTCTAAGAGCGTTACAGGGTTAGCCCTTACAGTTTGGTCTTTGAACCCTTTTGAGTTCGTGTGTATGTGTGATAGGTGAGTCATTCCTTTGCATGTGGATGTCCAGTTGTTTCAGCACCATTCGTTGGAAAGACTGTACTCTCCCCATTGAGCTGTCTTGGCACAGTTACTGAAACTCAGTCGATCGTTAATGCTAGGGTTTAAATCCATTGATCACTAGCACTAGGGTTTATTTTTGGACTCTCAAGTCTATTTCACTGACCTACACACCTACCCTTATGGCAGAATCACAGCATCTTGATTACCGTCACTTTATTGCAAATTTTGAAATTGTGAAGCATGAGTCTTTCCGCTTTGTTCTTTTTCCCAAGATTGTCCTAGTTATTTTGGGTGCCTTGTATTTCTACATAAATTTTAGGACCAGTGTGTAAATTTCTTCAAAATGAAGGTGGCTTGGGTTTTGACAGGAATTTTGTTGAATCTGAAGATCAATTTGGGGAATATTGCCATCTTAATACTCTTCTAGTCCGCGTATGTTCCCTTTACCTCTGTGACAACCTTGAGTTCTGAAGCAATGTCTCCAAGATGTGATTGCTTAGCAAGGGTCATGCAAGTGACTTTGACCTGTCTTCTCAGGATACTGAGCAGTGAATTAGTTGGGTTTGGGGAATTTGCTATCTATGCACTTCTGCTTAATTATCTAGGATAGAGCACAACAGCCAAAGGCCAGGATAAAATGTAGTTCAATGATATCGCTCAAAGTCTCAGTCAAATATCACTCAAATTCTTGTTTGTATGATAAGGTGTAGTGAGATTCTTTTTTATCTTGGGGGTAGTGCCCCCCCCCCCCATGAAATAAACTGGTCTGCTGTTCCCTTGAGGCCTAAACTAATCTACATGGGCCTAAGGCATGCTTAGTTGGCCTACTGTGTCCTGCTTACTACTCATTAGCCAAAAGCCTCTCAGAGTCTAGAGCTGGAAGGGAAAGTTCTTAGAGGAAGGGCCAATGGTCCAGTGGAGATAGTTTCAGTAACAACAGCAATCTCTGAGCATTAAGGAATCAGGAAGTCATGACAGCTTCAGGTGTCGTTTAAGAGAGTCAGGAGCTGGTAAATCAGCACTTTCAAGTTGTAGGATTAGACACCGTTAGTGGGGCTGTAAAATCAGTGCTGTTATTCACGACCAGCATTCTTAAAAAGTGAAATAACAAATAGAACAAGGTCACTGGAAAAGGTAAGAGTGTTTTTTGCTTCCTGAAACTCAAAGCCAACCTAAATAAGTTTGTGAGGTTTTGGGGCTCTTGTAGCTGCTCCGCATTTGTTATTCTAGCTGCCCATTTCTCTTTCTCTACAGAGACGGGAAGAGGAGGCTTAAAATAATAAGGGTTAGGCATGAGCCTTGCTCTCTAGAAACAGCAAAGTACAAGGCTGTTGAACTGGGGGGAAAATAGTTTCAAGAGCAGTGGTTACTCTGGAAGGGGACAGGAAGCCCGGTAAATTATTGTGTCCTTTGAGAATAGGGAAGAAAATCTGTTCATCTTTAACGGTGCAAACAGGAACAATGCAATAGCGAGTACCATGAAAAAAAATGGAAGACATCTAAAGGACTATTGTAGTGAAAATACATTTATATTTTATTTAAGCTGCTATATTTTGAGGTTCTGTTGCTATAGAAGTTTCATCTTTATTCTAACAAACATCCATTTATAAATATAAGAATTGTGAAGAAAGTGATAGAAAACTGAGGAGAGTGGTATTTGGTCGAAGATGGATCTATAAGGGGAATGCAGGGGCTTTGATTTGTAAAATGTCTTCATTCTTAAACTCAGTGGTGAGTCAGCTGTGTTTATTGTGTTACTCTATCTTTTTGAATGCCTGAATTATTTTGTTAAAATCTCTACTGAAATTGGATAAGAAAATAAGAGTCGTAGTGGGGTAAGTGATAATAATGACTTGAATGAAAAAAGTCTAAAACCAAATATATTAATGTGATAAATAACCAGAGATGAAAAGCTATTTAACTGCAGTATGCTTGCTCTGGTACACCTTTTGCCACATGGGATAATGATAAGAATGATTCCTATCTATAACATTTCTTTGCAGGGGATCAAGGGTAAGAATTTGACCTTCCAGGAATAATGTACTCTAAATTTATAGTATCTCCTAGTTTCTTGGGTACTCAACAAAGAACTTCCGGCAAGGAAACTCCTTCAAAATAAAGACCAGGAAGCCACACAGGGCACTGGAGTGCACATTCAGGAGTTTCAAGTGTTTTTCATTCACTTACTGAAACTTAACACTTTTGCTGAACAAGCTCGCAGCAGGTCAAGGTTAAGTGAGGAAAAGAAATAATGTTTATCTCCCATTAAAAAGGAGGAGAGTACTGATAAAGATTTTAGAATGCTGTTCAATGGAAGCAGGGGAAAAAAGTGTGCACATTGAAGAGATGTTTGAGGTTCAGCAAATCCCCTCTACCCTCTCTGCTCCAGAGCGCCCAGGTGAAAGAGAAATGTGTTTCCCATTTATGTGGGAAAGAGTGAAGAGCTGTGTGCTTTGCCAAGGGACCGAAGCCCAGTGCAGATTTTTAACTGAGGTTGTACCTTGGAGACCATCACATACTCCTTCTGAGGCCCAAGAACACACATGTCGTCTGTTAGAACTCAGCTGTGGAAACATACTGACTCTATTCGGGGCACTCATATTGGTGCCTCTGCTCTACTCTTAAACAAAAGCACATATTAAACACACAAAACCCGAATTATCTGTAGTTTTGTTTTTAGTATTTTAGTATTCCAGTGATGGTTCTAACCCCCTCCTTCCTTTTCTAGATTGCCCTTTTCCTCAATTCTTTTCTTCACACTCTGTTTCGCCATCCACCCTCTCTAGTTCGACATGTCCTACCCTTCGTTTGTCGCCTCTGCCTCGGAAAAGGCTTGTCATAGGAAATGGAAAGAGGAAGTTTAAAAAGTAAAAATGAGACGTTGAGGAATAATGAAAAGAAATAGGATAAATTAGCCCCATTTTCCCCAACACAGACTTACAACACAGTTTCAACTTCAGCCATTTTCGCCTCTTTTTTGCTACATCTTTGATACATTTTTCAAAGAGATTTTTTTTCCAAGTCAAGGCTGTAACTGGCAAAACATTGAAGCACAAAACAATCCATTCCCAACATTGTATAAAATTTTCTAATTTGTATCAGAATATCTTTGGAATTTGTATTACTCATTTCCCCAGAGTTGCTTTACCAACATTTTGGATGATTATGGCTGAAGATGCCCTGGTGGTATGAAGTTAAACTGGGGTTTAAAATGTAATGTCCTTACATAAACAACATACTCTGTGCTCTGATAACTTCAGAATTTTTTATTGTTTTACATCAGCCCTTAATTCCCAACTCTTCCCACTAAGTCTTCCCTTGTCAATTCTAATTTTAAAATTTTAAGTAAATACTGCAAATGATCACATATGCAGTGCCAGAAAAGCAAGACCAATCTAATGAATTAGTGATAAAAGGAGAGACATGAAGAATATGCTAGAATTTTTCATAAATTCACATCTAATGGTGATTATTTTATTCATCCAACTTATTTTATCCAGGAGGGTGGTAAAATTTGTCCACAGTTGCACATGAGCTGGAGGGGTGCCCAGTCTTACAACATTCTCTACCCGGAAATTATTCTAAATAGGCAACACTCACCCCTACCTCACCCCACATTCTATTTGTCGTCCCCTGCATGGCGGTAACTTCTCCTAGACTAATTTCTGTGAAAAAAAAACCCAAACCATAAGCTACTAGATTACCCTGTACTTACCTCTCTCTGCCACCTGAAGCTTTTGGGTTGTTTACTTGTCAGTCTCACTCTGAACTGTGGACCCTTTTCTTAGTTCTGTAACATGGAGCTTCCTGGAGTTCCAGGCACCTAAGGGCTGCTGAGTAAACATTTATTGAAGGATCTTCCCAGCTCTCCTCCCTCCTAAACCAGAATCTGCAAAACTTAGAGGGCACTTTAAGATAGTGTTTTCTTTCTTCTGGGTAAGTTTTAGGCAAAGAGGTTGAGTACCTGTTTTAAAGTCCTAGCCTTCCCTGTGTAAAGATAACTCTCCACTGTGATCCTCCTGACCCTTAGCTGAGCGAACTAGCCCAGAAGTTTGTAAACTGGGAGAATTCAGGGCCCTTCATGTTGTTCTGTGTTCACATAGTATATTGTACGTGCCACCGACTGTCACTCACCTGAAACTCTCTCACTGAAATATTTAGATGGAACTTTTCTCTGTTACTCTTTGTAGAAGAGTAGACCATAAATAACTTAAAAACGTTAGTCCGGTTTTTATTATACTGGAGATCATTTGTAATTTTCTGGCATTTCATTTATGTTAGCTGTTTACCTCAAATTATGATGTTAACGTGAAAATACTTTTGATGAAATGTCACATTAAGAGTTGACTTTTCCTCTATCTCTCCTAATCTTCAAATGTTACTTTATGAACAAGCACAGTCATTTCTGAGTGAACAGAGAACGTTTCTGAGCCCACTGAACTATTTCTCCGCCAGGCCTCATTCCACACCTTCTCTTGCGCCTACGCTGTCAGCTGTGTTCACTGAAACCAGGGACTATTTGCATTCTAATTATTGCCAGTGAGTGATCTGCATAAAACATTCTACCTGACTATTAGTTCATGCGTTTGATTACTAAGCACCTTTTTCTGTAACTAGGAGAGCAATTACTATTTCTCTCTGTTTCTTCAGGGTTGTGATAGTGGGCTACAGTTATTCAAAAACATTAAAATCCAATCATGAAGATACGTCCATTGATAGCTTATCTTCTCTGGCTCAACTTAATTGCCTTTGAATGGACATCCAGTGCGTTCCTGGTTCTGTGATGCCCACTGCGTTCAAGGCTTCAGGAAATACGAAGGTGCATGCAACGCGATGACATTGTTGACAAGGTCACTGATACGTGACCTTTCCTAAGTGGTTCTCCTCTGTTGTTCCCATGGATTACTACTGGGAAGTTCCTGCCATGGAGCTAGTTTTTTAGGGAAGGAAACCGAGAGTATCATCTAAAAATGGATAGCACATTGTATGTAGCACGGGAAATCGGGAATGAGGGCTGAGCAAGCCTCTGGGTCTGTTTCCCTCTGCCCAGAGCGGTGGAACGACCATTGGTGTGGCATACTGCACATGGCAGCCAGCTTCCCAGACACCGGCTCGTGCTCCAAGTTCAAACACAAGTAAAGTACCTTTCAGAGTAGCATTTTCAGTGTTACTCAGCCAGGCAACATCTGAAATCACCACAACCCAGTTGGTGACAATGACACCTAACTGGCCATGGACATAAGCCTCCAAGGCTACTTCAACACCTCTCAAGGCTCGAAAAGCCCCCAGAGGCAGGACGCTAGTATAGATCGTGAAGACCTTGCCTGGACAGGGAGAGAACTCAGAAGCTGCCCGAGGCTGTTTTCAGCACCTCTGATGATCTTAGGATATTAAATGTCAGTAACACTTCGGACCATAAGCTCTGCATCCATGGCCCCTGTAGGATGGCAGGCATGCAGCCACGTTACTGAAGATTGCAAATTGGCAACAGAGGTAAAAATCTCTGTTTACAGCATGGTAAAATGCTCTGAATCATTTTCTTGACAAATGTAACTTTGTGTGAATGATTTACAAGGAGATGATATTGTAGAAAAGGGAAAGTTCTCACAAGAGGAATGAGCTGTGTCCAACCAGTGGGAAACCTGACTCCTCCTCTGGGGTGTTGGGTGGTTATGGAAGAGCAGGGTGTTGATACAAGGAGAGACTGACACATGCAGAGAAGAATAAAGTAGGTAAAGTGAAGTGAGCAATCTGCCCAGAAGCCTGACATTGATAAAGCACGTTCATGCTGATTGCTGCCTCACACTGACTGCAATGGTCTCAATCCAGCCAGGAACCTGGTGTCAGATGCTTTGCTTGTTCATTTCTTTATTTAAGAGGTTTTTATTGGAAGTTTGTTGTGTCAAGCATTATGCTAGACTCCAGAGATAACAAAATGGAAAAAGAAAAACCTCTGATCTCCTGGAGAGTGCTAAGTAAATTTGAATTCTTCCTGATCTTTGCACATTTTTATTTTAGTGTGTTCAGGGGGTCTGGGGTGGACTAAAATATGATACTGGCACAATTTATCAGTCTGTATTCACAGACCGATGGTATTCACCCACTTCCCAAAATGCCTGGGGCACCATGGAAGGCTACGTGTCTGCTTTCCGATACATGAGAAAAGCAAGTTACAAAACTATTTATGCAAACTGATCTTTTTTTTTTGTTAAACTATACCTGCATAGAAAACGATAACAAAAGGCTGTGCACCCAAATTTTATAAGCCACCATGGGATGATGATTGAGGGTGTTTTATTTTCCTCTCTAGGTGTTTATGGGTTTTCCACATTTTATACACTGGATGTGTTTTGCTTTTGTGACCAGAAAATACTTTGCAAACTATATATTTTGCTAATTACTTCAAAAATAATATTTAGCCCTGGCTGGTGTGGCTCAGTGAATTGAGTGCTGGTCTGAGAAGCAAAGGGTTTGATTCATAGGGCAATCCGTTCGATTCCCAGTCGGGGCACATGCCTGGGTTGTGGGCCAGGTTCTCAGTAGGGGGCGCGAAGAGAGGCAACCACACATTGATGTGTCTCTTCCTCTCTTTGTCTCTCCCTTCCTCTCTCTCTAAAAATAAATTAAAAAATCTTATAAAATATAAATAATATTTAACATCTGTATGTAACTTCAGGATTGTTCATTATTCCTTATCATTTTTCTTAAGTATCAGGTAAGTAAGACTATCCTCATGCCTGGTTCATGCACAGGAATAACAGGCAGAAATAAAACTCATAATCTTAAAAATATGAGAACACATATTTCACTCATTCAACTCTATTCTTCTTTATGTGGGAAGTTATGCCAGTTGCCTTGTATTATTAGTCTGGCCTGACCCAAAGCAGAGCTCTGAGGCAAGGATTTGGGTGCAAATGCTTTACTTGGGAAGTGATCCTAGAAGATGGTGAGGGAGTAGGGAAGTGAGACGGCAAGAAGGGGAAGGCAATCCGTCTGTACAGTGAGAGGGTTGCCGCGGTGGGCTCTGAGGGCTCAGTCCTGCATGACAGAGTATCGGGAGCACGCCTCGCAACTGTCTCCCCAAAAGACAAGAAACCCGAGACGTCTACACACCACCCTTATTGGGTAGGCTTGCTTCTGAAGGCACTCACTTCCTAGCACTTCTTGCCTGTCACAAATGCAGAACAAGCAATCCCATATGGCCAAAGAAAGTCCTAAGGTAGAGAGAGACCTGGGTCCCTGAGTAAGGATGTCCCAGCCAGCAGCTTCAGGGGACCTGTGGGAGGACTCAGGGAATGTGGGTGGGGCATGGACAGAGTTTGATACACTTCAGTAATAGTCAGCTCTGAAATTGAGTGGCTTACCCCTCAATTTAATTTTCCTTTGTGCTCACGTACACTCCTTTGTGGGTCAGGCAGATTTCCTGGATAGGGTACCTTCACCTCAAATCTTACATCTATCCCCGGTGCAGTCTTCACACCTCAGAGCCTCTGCTCACAGCCCAGCAGGCAGGGAAGAGGGAGGCTGTGGCCAAGGGCGTAGGATGTGGGATGGCCCAGCCTGGTGGTGGAGGACAGCAGATCTGCCTGTGTCTGCACCTAACTGCACAGGAAGTTTAGGAATCTAGCCTTCCTACGTGCCCGAGAAGAAGACAAGGGATTGGGTGAGCATCTTCTCATCTCCTTGTCTGAACTTGAGAGAGTTCTCTGAACATCTAGCGCTTAATGGGTACTCTACTTTTTTCTTTTGAAAGTGAGCTTGAGTTCTTTATATAGGTTCTTTCAGATGCAAATGACTCCGTGGACTAGTTACTGCTGAGGAACACGGAAGAGCAACCACGGTCCAGTGTGGCTAGTGATTTAGACTGAATCTCTGAGACAGAGAGACTGAATCTCAGAGACAGAACCTCTGAGAGCTGAGTATGGACCTGCTCTTGACTAGGTATGTGATTTTGCACACATTAGCTTCTTGATATGAAAAATATTAAAGTAGTTACAATATTGTATGACTGCTTAAGCTAAGTAGCTGATTATATATTTTTTAAAGAATATTTTCATGTAAATATATATATCTTTGTATATAATGTGTGTATATTATATTTGTAAATGTATATATATATATATATTGTATTTTTCAAACCATAAGACTCACCTAGGTTTTAGAGGAGAAAAATAGGGAAAAGAATTTTGAAGCAAAAAATGTCATAAAATATTTAATAACATAAATAATATTTCACCAATGTAAATGTAAACAGAACTCAACAGCAGCATTAACAACCATTATTCCACCCAAATTAGGGGGGAAGTGCATCTTATAGTCCAAAAATATGGTACACATATATATATGGTGTATACACAAAAATTATACATATCTATAATGGTTAATATTACCTGTTAATTTGAGCGAGCTGCAGGGTACCCAGATTAAACATTATTTCTGGGTGCTTCTGCGAGGGTGTTTCTGGATGAGATTAGCATTTGAATCAGTGGGTTCAGTAAAGAAGATTGCCTTCCCAAAAGTGGATTGGCCTCCTGCAATCCACTATCCAACCAAAAAAGTAGAAGGGCGCTCACTCCTTTTGCTTCCTACCTACCTGCTGAGCTGCCCTTGGGCCGGGACTTCCACCCTCAGTGTTGCTGGTTCTCAGGGGTTTGGACTCAAACTGGAAATATACCACTGACTTCCCTGGGCCTCCAGCTTGCACAGGGCAGATTGTGAGACTTCTCAGTTTCCATAATCACACAAAGCAATTCCTCAAAATAAATCTCTTCATAAATATGGATCGATCTACCTGTCTCCTCTTGGTTCTATTTCCCTGGAGAACCCTGATTAATACCAGGCACGCGGAGTTAGCACTGAGTCGAGAATGTCCACTCTTGAATGCTCTATACTTGCTGAACTCCCCTTTCTGTCCACCGCATCTTTGCATGATCTTTCTCTTCCCTCAGAGAAGAAGTGTGTTTGTTCTGCAGCTCGCAGGCCAGCCCGGCAGGTGTGTGTCGTCAGAGGTGAGCAAATTGGGGCAGCAGCTGTGGGTTAAATCCCCGCTCTGGGTAGACTGTGGGAGAAGAAACACAGGTCCTCTTGTGAAACCCAAGGAAAGCACAGACCTGTAGTCAATCTGGTCTCACCCGCAGGGCCGTTCGAGTTTCTCAGTTCTAACGTTTCTAGGGTGAGAGGGGCTTTGGCTATTTATTATACCCTGGGGGCCAGTAATCCACATACCGATTAAAAGGCTACATTTTCTAACTAACAAAACAGTGCACGGTGCCACATGACAGGGAAGCCTTTTTCTTTTCCTTTTTTTTTTAAAGCCAGGTTTGACCAGTCAAAGCTGCTGGATGAAAGACCTTAACTTCAGAAAACTCAGCTAAAAGAATTTGACATTATATCTATAGTCTGGTTTATTTCAAAAAAGAAGTATGGGAGGATGGCATTCCTACCAGGTGTGTGAGACAGTGGCCGTATTAAACAGTTGCGGTGACTTTTTCATTCTTCATTCTTTCCTATATTCATTCTTCAGAAATTTTTCAAGTGGCAGTCACAGACCAGAATCTATGGTAGGTCCTGGGTCACCTCCTTTGGCTGTTTCTCTCTGGTGGGAGGAGGCCCACTGGGCCCAGCCGGTGCCGCAAGTCCAGACTCTAAGGGTTGACCTGGCCTATTTCTTGAGCAGCAGGCGATGGAACAATGACCATCTGAATCCTGTCCCCACGTATGATTGTGTTCTGAAGTACAGCAGTAACAGTGAAAAGTAAATTTGTGTTTTCTCTTCTGCATCACAAGTGATTGAAACACGTCTAGCCATGCTCTCCTATGACAGGGTACAATAGGATACAGGAGTTAAGGAGGAATAAATAGCTAACGTAACATGTAGTATGTGCTAAGTGCTATCCTAAGCATTTTCCACACATTAACCCATTTAACCCCCCAATAATGCTATGTGGTAGACACTATTATCATTCTTGTTGTATGGAGATGGAAGCAGATAAAAATAGATGGTTTTTCATTTATGGGAGAAAGTACTTAATTTTCTCATCTGTGTGGCCTTATTGCCATTCCATGTAGTTCTGTTAGAAACAGTATCACATAAAAGAGAACCACCTTTCCCCGCAAAGGATTAGAGTTGGAGTCTTCAAATTTGATCAATGGTTTAGAGAGGATTCTGCAGAGATCACATTGTTTGACACACAGGAAGACTGTTCATTTATTCCTCCATTCACAAAGAGTTGCCCGCCCTGGACTGGATTCTGGGATCTGAGGATGAATGAGCCTCAGGAAGCACTCGGGCCAGTAGAGAAGAAAATGTGTAAATAAATCCTTACCATGAGATGTTGTAAAAACTCCCAATAAAATCTGTAAATTATAGGACAGGGGCAGTTATTAATATAATAATAACAACTAACACTCCTGATCATTTATTCTGGACTGGGAGCTGGTCTAAGAGCTGAACATTATTAACTCTTTTAATCCCTACAATGTCCCTATGAAGCAGGTCCCATTATTTCCCCAACTTAAGAGACAAGGAAGTGAGGTACTAAGAAGTTAAATGGTGTGTCCAAGGCTTTTGGGAGAGGCAATCCACTGTGTACCCTGAGCATTCCTGGATTATCTTGCTGGTGTGCCAAGAATTCATGGAACCAGGACACAGCCTCTCCATACACTGAATCTGCTGGTGCCTTGATCTTGGACATCCACCTTCCAGAACTGTGAGAAATAAATGTGTTGTGATATGCCACCCAGGCCGTGATATTCTGTTATAGCAACCCAAATGGAATAAGGCACCTGTGAAAATCATTTTAAAGATTTTAGGTGAGAAAATGTCATGACCAACTTGGTGATTTTGAAAGATCCATCCAGAACTGTGTCCAGAGGAATTGGAGGAGCCAAAGAGATCAAATAACAAGCAGTCGAATCAATCTAAGTGAGACATGCCGAGGGCCCGAACTCTGTAGTGTGTATAGTATAAGTGCCAGTATTTTTAATTTAATGCCTAATGACAATAGTAATTAACTTGGAATTATTCCAGCCAGAATTGTTGTATTTTTAGTTCCTGAGCCTTGATCTTTTTCCTTTATAAAAGAAGCAGAGAAGGTCACCTGAATAAAGTGATCTGGTTTCTGCCAATTCCAGAGAGAAGAGGCTAAGGAGAAGGTGGATCTCCAGGCCCTGAGACAAAGGTAAGCATGTGTGATAATAAGAGACAGGCTCTATCTCCTTCAATCATGGTGGCAAAGAGAGATGAGAAAAGCTAACAGGACATTGCTATCCAAAGCAGAGATTCTCAGACCTTCCACGCAGAGCCCACTGAGGCAGAAAAACACACCCAGAAGCACACACATAACTCACTTTTTCTTTTTTCTCCTTTTATAGAAAAATCTCTGGTAACGTGGTCCCTGGAGAATAAAGTTGGGGTTGTTGGCGATGGTGTTGGGGGTTATGGAATTATCTGCTTTGGCAATGGGATGTGAATAGTTTATTCTTGGTTACCAGAGTCCGCGTGTCTGTAAATGTAACTATGGGAAAAATTGCAGTCCAAAACATTGTTGGTGAAAATATGCATCACTACACAAGTGTCACCTTGGCAAAACAATTCCTGATGAACTAAATTGATAATAATGAAACCAAAGAAACTGTAATTTCTGATTCAAAGCAACAATACCAGGAACTGAAAAATATAACTTAGGCAAAATCCCCTACATCACCTAATATTCATTCATCCTTCCTCCTTCCTAATGGAGTCCAAAAACTGTTGAGGAATGTACTCTCCGCTACATAGCCAATAGCATTAAGAGAGGTGAGCTCATCTCCAGCTTTACCTGGCAGATTTTAGATTGTCTGCATAAGTCCAATTCTCCTCGCTGATGAGTGTGTTAGTCAAGGGGCAAGTGACGAAAGCTCTTCTTGTGAACACTGCTGCGTCAGAATGTAATGCCTGGAAATGCCTCCTCCAGCTGCAACCTTGAGAGGGGCTAGCCCAGGGACAAGACTGATGCAGAGAAGGGGAAAGCCAAGGCAACTCAAAGAAACAGAGCTACAGCTTCAGACATCTTGTTATGCAGATTCCACTTGAGTCGAGAGTTTCTGTTATTCGTTGCCTAAATCTTCCGGATGCAATGACAGACACATCTAGAGTGATCACTCCCTGAGGGAGGCTTTGCAACAGGAGCAAGCTCTGGAAGAGCTGTCAGGCTCTTTAGAGAAAGTCTGAGCCAGAATCTTTAATAAAACAGTAGAAACTGCCAATGGTAGTTTGTGAATACCAAATTTTATTCATCCTGCTAACACCGGTACTAACTTACTACCAAGGAGCCCTTCCAAGTGTCTGTAAATTGAAGGTTTGAGAGCCAGAAGAAGGATGTTCATTTTTGGACCATCTCTTCACACAGGGTCGAGTCCGGACAACGTTTTAGAAAGAACCGCCCTACAGACAACTGGGGACACCCCACCATGGGGGAAGGATGGTGGGGAATGTTTCCTATAATGTAAGTACTCGCAGTCATAGCTAAACTGCTATTTGTTAAATACAAGCTGTAGATAAAACACATTGCTAAATGACACTGCCAAGGGAAAGTTTATTATAATTATGGTAATTTAGAAAAGGCTCTCATGAACTCATTTTGGCTTAGGCTGCACAAACCAGTGATAAGTTCTTTACTGCACATCTCCCGAGAGCTATTTGTAGACTTCTCCCCAGACACTCGTCTACTTTCTTCATTAAAAATTTGGACTGTCTCATCAAAGTCAACAATCTGTTCCCTTTGATTTTTCTGTAAATCAGTGGGTAGTATTTCATTCTCTCTTTTCATTCTCTCTGAAGAGAGTTTGTAAAAATTTACATAATTTTAATTGAAAGATATTTGGTTCTCGTGTATAATAAGGTAACAGTTGCTTAGAGAAAGTCTGGGACCCGGGGAAGCAGAGTCTTGTGCTCTTTTTTTCTGACATTCTGGCTTCTCTGTACTTTATTATTATTTTTTTAAGATTTAATTTCTTTCTTTCTAGAGAGAGGGTAAGGGAGGGAGAAAGAGAAGGAGTGAAACATTAATGTGTGGTTGCCTCTCACACACCCCAACTGGGTACCTGGCCTGAAACCCAGGCTTGTGCCCTGACTGGGAATTGAGCCAGTGACCCTTTTGTTTGTAGGCTGGTGCTCAATCCACTGAGCCACACTATCCGGAGTTGTACTTTAATATACAATGTTTGTGGCATGTACCAAAAACTTGGATGAGAAACCATCTTGTCATATAGAATTATATTAATTTGCCTCTTTCAGGTAACAAGGAATAGAGACTTTCTCTTACTTCCAGTGATGACTTGTCATTAGGAAACAGAAAAAAAGGGAGGAAGTGGGGGGGAGGAGGGAGGAAGAGGAAGGAAAGGGGGAAGGGAGGGTGGGAAGGTAAGAAGGGAGGGAGGGAGGGAGGATGGCAGAAAAGGAGTCCTGGCTGGTGTGGCTCAGTGGATTGAGCTCTGGCCAGTGAGCCAGAAGGTCGCCAGTTTGATTCCAGGTCAGGACACAGGCCTGGGCTGCGGGCCAGGTCCCCACTTGGGGGATGCAAGTGGCAGCTGATTGATGGTTCTCTCACACATCAATGTTTCTTTCCCTCTCTTTCTCCCTCTATTCACTTTTCTCTAAAAATAAAGAAATAAAATCTTAAAAAAAAAAGAAATAGAAAGAATCAGGAACTACATCCGTGACTACACGGCTACTATTCAAGAGAAAAAAACAACCACAACGGCTTCTTATCAGTTAGGACACAGTACCAGCATTAACGACAACAAGAGCTCTTGGGACCAGATATCTTTGTGCCCTCAGAATCAGACATCTGTCACTCCCCACTCATAATTGTCACACTTGTGACTGTTTCTTTTAAATCTGGTTGTCCACTGCTACCTCTGAAAGACAGTTTCACTACATATAGAATTCTAGGTGGACGGTGTGTCTTCTAGTTTGCATTCTGCCCCATGAGAAGTCTGTCACTATTGTTGACACTGGATTTAGAAAATCTCTTTTGAGATGTTAAGATGGTTTTTAGGCACATAACCCACTGTACTCTCAGATCATTGGCATCTGAATAAAGTGCACATAAAGATTCAGAAAAAATCTCTTGTTAATCTCAGACTCAACTTCATAATTTCTATCAGCCTATATTCAAATTCACTAATGTTTTCTTTTGAAGAGTCAAACTGCTGTTAATGTCATTCAGTGAATATTTTTTATTTTAGGCATTGCATTTTATAGTCCTAGAATTTCCATTTTGTCCTTTTTTAGAGTTCTCTTTTCTCCCCTGAAATCCCCCATCCCTTTCCATTCTATTCACATTTCATAAATTTTTTTTCCAGCCAGGATTTTATTTATTTATTTTTAAATTCTATTTTATTGATTATGCTATTACAGTTGTCCCAACTTTTCCTCCCCTTTACCCATCCCCCTGCCCTGCACCCTTCACCCTCCAGCATCCCCCCAGCCTTAGTTCATGTCCATGGGTTATACATACAAGTTCTTTGGCTTCTCTGTTTCCTATACTATTATTAACCTCTATTTTGTCCCTACCATGTATTCTTCTTATTCCCTGTGCCTTTTCCCCACTTCTTCCCCACCCTCTCCCCACTGATAACCTTCCATGTGATCTCCATTTCTGTGATTCTGTTCATGTTTTAGTTGTTTGCTTAGTTGTTATTTTTTAAGTTCAGTTGTTGTTAGTTATGAGTTTGTTGTCATTTTACTGTTCATTTTTTATCTTCTATTTCTTAGATAAGTCCCTTTAACATTTCATATAGTAAGGGCTTGGTGACGATGAATTTCTTTAACTTGACCTTCTTGGGGAAGCACTTTATCTGCCCTTCCATTCTAAATGATAGCTCTGCTGCATAGAGTAATTTTGGATGTGGGTCCTTGCCTTTCATGACTTGGAATACTTTTTTTCAGCCCCTTCTTCTCTGCAAGGCTTCTTTGGAGAAATCAGTTGATAGTCTTATATAAACTCCTTTGTAGGTGACTGACTCCTTTTCTCCTGCTGCTTTTAAGATTCTCTCTTTATTTTTAATCTTGGGTAACTTAATTATGAGTGCCTTGGTGTGTTCCTTTTTGGGTCCAATTTCTTTGGGACTCTCTGGGTTTCCTGGACTTTTGGGAAGTCTATTTTCTTCACCAGAGTGGGCAAGTTTTCCTTCATTATTTTTTCAAATAAGTTTTTTCAATTTCTTGCTCTTGTTTTTCTCCTTCTGGCACCTCTATGATTCAGATGTTGGAATGTTTAAAGATGTCCCAGAGGTTACTAAGCCTCTCCTCATATATTTGAATTCTTGTTTCTTCATTCTGTTCCAGTTGAATATTTCTTTCTTCCTTTTGTTCCAAATTGTTGATCTGAATCACTGTTTCCTTCCCTTCACTGTTGGTTGCCTGTATATTTTGCTTTATTTCATTTTGTGTAGCCTTTATTTCTTCCTTCATTTTGCAATTGAGTTCAATGAATTCTATGAGCATCCTGGTGACCAGTGTTTTGAACTCTGCATCAGATAGGTTGTCTATCTCCTCATTGCTTAGCTCATTTTCTGGAGTTTTGATCTGTTCTTTCACTTGGGCCATATTTGTTCTTCCTGGTGCACCTGTTTTTTGTTGTAAGGGGGCAGATCCTTAAGTATTTGCCAGGGCTGGGCAGCCCTGATGGCTGCGTTCTTGTGCTGCCGGTGGGGGAGGGTCCCGGACAGAACAATGCTGCTGCTCAGCTCTAGCCTCACTTTCCAAGGAACTCTCCTGTGAGGCTGGGAGTTTTTCCCGACATTGCAATCCCCACAGCACTTTACAGCTAAAAGTTTTGAGTTTCCCATTCAGCTAGTGCTGCCTGGCCAGCACTGTACGCGGCCTTGCCAGCGTCCTCTCTGCAACCCCGACTGGCTGCCTGTGTTCCTCCCTCCTACCAGTGTGGATGACTGTTCCTTTAACTCCTTGGTTGTCAGACTTCAATGCAGTTTGATTTTTCTGGCACTTCTGGTTATTTATTGCTTTTAAATTGGTTGCTATCCTTCTTTTGGTTGTGTGAGGAAGCAAAGTGTTTCTACTTATGCCTCCATCTTGGCCAGAGTCACCTTTTGTAAATTCTTAAAAGTATTTATAATAATTTTTAAAGTCCGGATGCTAATTTCAGTAACTGGGGTTAACTGCAGATCTGCAGTGTTGACTGTTTTCTCGCGGTTATTGGTCAGTGACTCCTGTTTGTCTGCAGGCCCCATACATTTTTTACTGTATCTAAGACAGTGAGTTTTTTAGTGCATACAAAGACAGTGAAGATTGAAGTATAATAATGTTTAGATTTCATTTCACAGAAAACGCAGGCCTTTTCCTTCTGTCTGACAGGGCGAAAGGATGATCGTTCAGATTCCTTCTAGAGTCCAGTGAAACTGACTCTGGCTGAAGGTCTAATCAGATTGAGATGACCTGTGCTTGGACCCCCCCTCGAACTCCCGCACCACTGCTGTCTTTTCGAAATTATCAACATTTGCGTGGATGGGATTCTGTTTTAAATATATTTCCCTTGCTTTGGATTTAACGCCACAGAGCCCTGTAATTCAAGCACTGTGGGAATGCAGGGGTCTGTGAGGTTTTGCCCTGCATTTTATCCCTTTCTTCACCAGTTATATTTTTGTCAAAGTTTGAAGGTAGGGTTGGGGATGTAAGAGTTTTTGGACCAATTTATTTTTGTAGCTGGGACATTTCCATACTCCAGTTCAGCTCTCTAGCCTTCACTGCCACCTGAAGCTCAGCTTATTTCTTCTCCTCCAGGCAGAGTCTCTCTAGGACCACTGGCCCTGCCTAGACCAGACACGCTTCCCAGGCGCAGACTGACTGCCCCTTTACCAGTGAAGGACTCGTTCTCCAAAATTCAGTTCATGAAGACTTTCTTTGTCCCTGTGTTTGTTGGCCCCTTGAGAAGGTAAGATGTTATAGGTCCGGGTTTTTCTTGGTGTTACCATGCAGACAAAGGTGTTTCATGTCCTCCATGTTCTAATCTGAAGTGGAAGTCAGAATCAAACATTTGAATTTCTAAGAATAAAACCATAAAGTTACCAGAAAAAAACATGGAACAATTTATTTTATAATTTGGAAGGGAAAAGCCCTTTTACAACAAGACCCAAACCTCAAAATCTCAGAAGTCATAAAGAGAATGATTTAATATATTCCTCTCTCTGTAAATATTTGTATATGTTATATATACATAGACGGAGAGACATAGACCTCTTTCTATACATCTCTGTCTCTCTTCCACTGCGGCAGAGTGAAATATCCCAGACAGATGACAGACCGAGAAAATATTTGCAACACCTAAGATAAAGATTATCTCAAATATATATTTAAAATATTTGATAAATAAGTAATAAAAATGGAAAGGCAGGTAACATAACATACAAATCACCATAAATAGAGTTTCAATATGAGAAGATGCTCACACCCCCTGAAAACTAATAGCTGCAAATCGGACTGAGGGCTCTCTTTGCCCGTCGCCCTGACAGAGCTGGGTGCTGGCAGGGTCTGGAGCAGCAGCTCTCACACGCACTGTGGATGGGGTGTGAATGAGCACAGCCTCCTTAGTGTGTTCATTCCGTGCTGTCTCAGAATGTTCTTTGGTTATATCTAGCAAAAGTGGAAAATAAACATACCCTTTGACCTAGCAATTTCAGCTCCAGTAATTTACTCTACAAATTTGCTGAAAATGCACATAAGGATGCATGCAAAAGTATAACCACTGCAGCATTGTTTGCAAGAATAGAAACAGAAAATAACTTTGATACCACAGTAGGGGGTAGTTAAAATTGTACAATATATCACTTCAATGGAATACTAGACAGAAGGAAATTAATACAGCTGCATGCTGATATTAAAAAAATTACCAAGTTATATTGCCACATGTAAAAATCAAGATACAGAGTAATATAAATTGTGTCTGCATTTGTATGTAACAAAAAGAGGCCTATGGAGATATGTCTACAGAGCAATGTTCAGGAGGCACACAGGAAATTGTTCAGTGGGAATAGGAGTCTGGGGTGACAGGGCGTTGGCTTTTATTTTAAAGCGCACTACTGTGTGAATTTCTTAAAATCGAGGGCCATGTTATTTTTTATAAAAAGGAAGTAAATTATCATTATGCTATAACATAGGGCAGTGAGCAATGTTTACTAGGACTTATGCTGGTGTAGTATCACGGACCCTGTCATATACTCTTTTGAATACTCAGGGTCCTTACAGGGCCCTTGGCATAGGAGAGGCGACGTGTAAATGAATGAGCAAATGACACAATGAATTTATTGACAGGGTGTGTTGCAGAATCTACTGATAACTTCAAAACGCTGATAAATTTAAGCGAACCTTCTTCTTCAGTTGTCCACCTAATGACTTTTGCTGATCTAAAATGAGAGCTACTAGTCATAAAGACTTTGAGAAAACATAAATGAACTTTTGTTCTCAGGTGAGGGTTAGCTATCATTCCAGTAGAAAAAAAAAAGGATCTCTTGTATGAACTGTAACAGCATTTTAGAAAAGGAACATTGCTCTGGAAATCCAGAGTAAGGGTCTTTTGCCTTTGCTTTATACTAGCTAGTATCTAATCTTATGTGAGATATTTTCTTATCAGGGCTTCTTTTGTGAAATGTTGGCTAATGGCTAAGGTTGTTTATCCCTTTCAGATTATGTAATTTTAAAAAAGGACAATCCAAAACAAAAAATATGCAGGCAGCACATTCCACATTTATGCTTTTTAAAATTTCTATTTCTGTGTAACAAGCCTCATGCCAATTCATTTTCCCAGAGAGGACCAACCCAGGCTGTTAGACTTTGCTCCTGTAAATCTGAGTCTGACTTTTGATTATCCGTGGAAATCTTGGCTCTCTAAACTATTCTTTGATTTCTGGGGGTATATGAGTACAGAGACACGCATTAAACACATGTTTCTGGTTTCCCATATTATATCTATGAATACATAGTTGTTTTATTAGAACTGAACTTCAGCAAGATGCTAGAATGTAACCCAAGTTCTTTCTCTTAAAACTTCAGAAAAGGTTCTCAGGTGATTCTGGGGAAAGCCACTGCATAACTGAGTTTCTGATGTTCCAGCAAATAATTGCTGAACTCTGCCGGTTTGCTGTGAAACCACATTGATTACCTTGCCTGATGCACTAGTCTGTGCACTGGGGACACGGTTAAGATGAACAGTGGTTCTTTCCAGGGGTTCATTTAGCTCTAAAACTAGAAAACGAAAGACTATTTTTTATCAGTAGCTGAAACAGGACTGGGCTGGAACAGAGCCAACGGCAGTTCAATTAGGCAGAGACGAATTGGGGGAAAGGGAGACGGCAGTCTGTATTCAAGCACAGGCAGGATCTCCTTAGAAATGGACGGTGCACAGCAGCTCCAGCCCCGTCCTAGAGAGAAGCCACTGAGGACAAAACCTGGGTAAACCAAGACAGTTTTCTCTGCCAGAGAAAATGAACTTGTAGCAACCACGTAAGGTTAACATATTTTAGGGTAGACATGCTTCGGCTGGCTTCTTAGGAAACTGTTCTGGGTTTTTTTTTTGGTTCTCTATTTATTTGCAATAAATACCACTAAAAAAGCCACTTTGTTAATCACAAATATCTGTATTAAGTCATCTTTCCTCTTTACTACATGAATGATTTCCCAAAATGGGGTATGGGAGACAACCTAATGGTGTGTGAAAAGAAAACTGAGAACTTCTAATTTTTTATTTTTCTTCCATCCTTTCAGTCCTTCCCCCCTTTTCATTTTTTATACTGTGTCTAAGATAATAGTAAATAGAAATATATTAGTAGTAATAATATATTAGTACATGGTCATATTCTATAAGTTCATGATTATGCACTTAATAAAGAGTTTAGGCTCAATTATTTTTATTTGTGTTTTTACAAGTAGAAGTACTATGCAGGAAAAAATTCTGGAGACTACTACTTTAGAATCTAGAGTTTAAATCACGGTTTCTGCGACTTGCTTCTACTCACAAGGTAACATTGAGTTGGAAGGAAACGCTGGCTATTGTGATAACACCAGTATCTCCATAACCCACTCCAGTGTTATGAACGTTTTTATTGAGGAAAAGAATAAGGAAACACAATGAAAGTTAAGAGTCTAAGGGGTGTAAAAAGAGAGATTCAATGCAAGTTATAGTAACTTGCCTTTGTAAGCGTTTAAAGAATGAGAATGAGAATGATAAAATTTTACCTTCTAGATTACATAGCTATGTAATCACTTACGATTTTTTTTTAGTGATCCTTTTTCTGAATTAGAGAGGTCCCCAGTGGTGGTCTTATCCCCTCCTTTCTTCCTACCACTGTGGAGTAGAGCCTTGCATGCCTGGGGAGGACTGAGTCTATGGATTGTCGAGTTTGCAAATAGTTTGTCCAACCCACTGGGTATGCCCGGGCCTTCATTTATCTTACTTAGTAGTCATTTGACTTGTTTGTTGAACAGAGTATTTTAATACTGAATTCTCCCTTGGGCTATGCAGAAAAAATAAATGATGAACTGTGCAGCCGTGGAACATGCACAGCATGTGGATGGCTGCACAGCAGAGCAGGCTGTCCACAGGGCATGATTTATGCTTTGCTGTAAGAGCACAGCTAGGCCTCAGAGATTTCCTCCACTCTGTGTTGATGCACTGAACTCCTCTCCAGTCTGATCCTCATTATTTTGACTTGTTGAATTTCCCAGGACAAGTTTTGACTCTTAGACTGGGTTCCCCATCATTTGATACCCTCAGCTGTTAACTTCCTGCTCCCCATAACCTCTCCTCCGTCACCTCCTAAGTCCAGGTGTGACCTAGAGCTGCAAACTGATTGACTAGTTCAAGGAAAGCTACACATCCCATAAAGAAGGAAAACACATGCGTGCAAAACCAAACATATGTTTCTTTTAGAGAATCTGAGTAAATGGAGCCCCTGTCCCTCCCCGGGTCTGGAGACTGGGGAGCAAAGCTGGATGGTAACACAATCACGAAACTCTCTCGAAGCCAGGGACTGATTCCACCACCTCCTATGTGGGGCAGTCTCCAGATGTGTGACACCCACTGTGCTCAGTACCAATGAGACTGCAAAGAAGGGTGCCTAGGCTTTTCCTTTTGACTGTGAGTTAGCCAGCAGGGGGGCCAGATGGAGTGTTCTGTTTTCACACTGTTATTTCTTAAAGTTCCACTATAATCGTTCTTGATAAATCTCCTTGCAGGCTTGCTGTTTGGGTATAAAAAACAGTTTGGTGGTCCCCAGGTGCAGTTATATCCCATTCCCAGTTTATGGAATATTAATATTTTGCCTGTTACAGGGGTTCCCAGAGAGAGTGCCATTTTCAGAATGTAAGGAACCCATGCTCGGTTTGTAGATGTTTAAGTGACTTTAGGATCCTTTGGCTTCCACCACTCTAAAGTGCTCAGATGCCCAGAAAGTGGCAAGGGGCACAGACCAGGGCACCCTACAGTTCCCTTTTTCCAGTCTCTGTCCTAATTTCATTTTACTAATTCTTCCCTAGCTTCCTAATCACAGTTTCCTCTACAATTGCTGGGGATGCTTTTTCTCTGCAAAAGTAAGCCAGAGAACAACTGGCTGTAGAGAACAGGGCACAACTGAAAAAAAAAAACCCAAAGGTCTGCAAAAATAAAAAGAAACTAAGGAGACCAAGGACTGTGTGTATCTGTGAGCAGAGTCCTTTCTTCTCTCAGCTGCTGCTGGGAGATGCAGCTCAAAGGCCTAGAGGTGGTTCGTCATTGTTGTTGGAGGGGCCTGCCCTGCACTGTCCTCACTTGGGTGGCCTGACGCTCTGAGAGGCACTGCAGTGTAGTGGGAAGAACACGGGCCTCCCAGCCCATCTATCTCAGGTTGGAATTCCAGGCTCTGTTACTTACCAGTGGACAGGTCATTGGGCTTCTCTGAGCCT